GTTGAATCGTGTCATCTGGACTTCGTTTTTTTGTTAAAAAGAAACGTAAATAGAAAATATTATGTAGATTTTATTTTGTAGCTTCTTTATGATCGTAGAATATATGAGCTTGAGGGTTGAGTATCAACTGAGTCATGCTGGGTACTGTCACAGGGGAGATGTAATTGTAGGTTTGCTGACACACTCGCAGGTAGAGACATAAACACAGATCCAGTCATAGCAATGCAGCTGCAGACACAGCCATGATTAGTACCATTACCCTGACATACGTTGGTAGTAAATCTCCTGCTTACCTGTCCCCCTCCAGGGTCTACGGAAGCCCACCTTGGAGGAGATCGACCACAGCAGACGGGCCATCATCACCCCCTCCCTCTTTGGAAGCTCTCTTGAGGAAGTGATGGAAAGGCAAAGTGAGCTCTTCCCAGACAGGAAACTGCCCTGGGTGCAGGTTCAGCTGTCCCAGTATGTTCTAGCTCTGGGTGGGGCTCAAACAGAGGGCATCTTCAGGTAAGATAGACCTAACTCAGCTTAAGACGCGCCTCAACTCGAGCAGTGAGCTAAAGGTGCAGTTTAGCAAATTAAAAGGGGATCACACAAAGTACATATGGTTTATTGTGTGCATATTTTGAATAGAAAAGTTGTGTGTGTGGTCTTCTGTTCCCTTTGTTTCTGCGTAAGCTTCTCTGTACAGTACACAAAGCAGACAGAACAAACACAGCCCTGCTTTGCTCCTGAGAGCAGCACAGTTTAATTTGATACTTCGTGATATGTGTTTACATTTCAGCTTAAGCCTACGAGCATGTGGGAGCCTCTCAGCAGAGTGTTTGTGGAGGGTTTTTCTCCTGCACTGTTAGATCTGCAGCTCCTCGACTTGTTTAGAAAATTCATCCTTTTCAGCAAACAAACTGTGAAGCTCCTTTTCTGCATCAGGACTTTACTGGAGAATGTGTCTGAAATAAAAACAATCACAGACTGAATAACCAAACAGAAACACTGAAAACAGTAAACAAGCACTAGTCCTGCCCGTGGAGTGGATTTAAAGTGTCTCTTGTGGTAGAGCTCCCTCCTGTGGCCACTCAGTGTAAGTGTTGTGTTTTCAGAGTACCTGGAGACATTGATGAAGTGAACGCCCTCAAGCTCCAAGTGGACCAGTGGAGGATTCCAGAGAATCTGTCTGATCCTAACGTACCTGGTATGATAAGATTATTTTTAGGGTTTTTCTTTAAGCCCAGAGATTTAAATGTGTGTATTAATAGAATGTCTTTCTTTTGTTGTTTTATAAGCCTCCTTGATGAAATTGTGGTATCGTGAGCTGGAGGAGCCCCTCATTCCCATGAACTTCTACAAGCAGTGCATCAGTAACTGTGATGACCCGATGGCAGCCATCGCTGTGGTCCAGTCTCTGCCTGAGCTCAGCAAGCTGGTTCTGTTCTACTTCATCCACTTCCTGCAGGTAACCAACATCACTCCTTCAAACAGTCTTCTCACTGGTGTTCCTCTTTGACATAATTCACATCATGTGTGCACTTGTTTACCTCTCCTTGGCGGCTGTGGCTGAGTGGTTAGAGCAGTCGTCTTCCAATACAAGAGCTGGGAGTTCGAATCCACCAGCAGTCACATGCCAAAGGGCCAAGACACTGAACCCCTCATTGCCTCTGATGTATGTCCCATCAGTGTATGAACGTGATAAAGCTCTGATTAGTCTCTTTAGAATGATTTGTTAAATTAGCTCTGTAGAGATCTAGTAGAGTGCTGTATGAATGGGTAAATGAGGCACAGATTGTCGTGTAAAGCGCTTTGAGTGTCTTGAAATAAGATAGAAAGGCGCTATATAAGTACAGTCCATTTACCATAAAATAAAAACTGAGCACTAAGCAGCTGTGGACAAATCTCTGAAGACATTTAGTTGTGCAGCAGAGACCACAAATGTGAGTGTAGTGGTCACAGCAATATTCTAAGCAGCGTCACTGTCCTTTTAAAGGTACACATGTCCAGACTTGGAAACAGTTTGATGCCAATCTGAGAAATGAGCGTGAAAAGTTGGTTCAAATAAATATTTGTATAGGTAGTTAACTTTAAAAAAAATTTGGTATAAACTAGGGATGCACGATATTGTCCGTATTGTTTGATATTAGCTATAAAGTTAAATATCGGACATTAACCATTCCATCAAAGTAACTCACCAGTATAAAAGGTGCTGTTTTTATATATACCGCCTTTCATACATATATATGTATGAAAGGCGGTGTTTTTGTATGACAACTGTATGACAAGGATGCCTGCAGCGCCAGCACAAGTTATGACATCACGTGCGCTGTTGAGTTTAAATTTGTAAAAATTTGCAAATTTGCACTGTTTGAGTATTGTCATTGAGTTAGAGAGGGTTAATGTCACGAATAAATTTGACATTAAACAGAATCCAAGTTGAAGTGTTGCATCATTTTCAGCCCCTTTTTGGCATCTGCATTTGGTATCAGGTCAAACTGACAAAGACCATGCAGAATAATGTATTTTAATTCCACAGCAGAGAAAGATATGTAGTCTCTGTTAGTAGGACTAGGAAAAATATATATCCGTATCGGTTATTGACCAAATAAGTTTTTACATATTGGCCAAAAATCCAGTATTGTGCATCATTGTGGTATAAATGTAAAAATTGAAACTTTATTTGAACAAACGTAACACAGACAGCAGATCAAGCACGAGCACTTTTTTAACCTTTACATATCAATACTTCATTTTTTTGTCTGTGCTGCAGCACTGATCTTTACTATCTAAACATTCAACTGAATACGACTCATCTGAGTTCCTGCAGGTCGAAGGTCAGTCTGTACACAACTAGAGCACCGAGTGGAGTCTTCCTCATTCCTTTTCTTCTCCTTTCACCCTGGCTTTCTCCAGGTGTTTGCTCAGCCATCCAACGTCGCCATAACCAAGATGGATGTGAATAACCTGGCCATGGTGATGGCTCCCAACTGCCTCCGGTGTCAGTCCGACGACCCGCGGATCATCTTCGAGAACACGCGCAAAGAGATGTCCTTCCTGAGAATGCTCATCGTTCACCTGGACACCAGCATCATCGAGGGCGTGGTGTAGACACCGTTAACGCTCCAGCACACAGATCAGTTCTCTATTTCCAAAACACTGTCCCTGTTTAGGCCACACTGGAACCCGTCATGGTGATGAGATGCACCTCGTACAACACGAGGAGTTCAGACACCTGGACTACCATGTGCTCTTCTGTTTTCTTACCGAGAGATCAGGTGTTTGACTTAGTTTTACTGTTTTTGATACTGAAATCCAGTGACTGCTCTCTGACTGTATATCCTCACTGTAGCCTCTGGAAACACGTTAAACCCTGTAAGTCTCATTAAAGGGCCGTCACCACAGTTACACTGAACGTTTTGGGTGCACAACGTGCGACTGCCGCATCAGAAATGTTCTCTTGCAAAAGAAAAATATGAATTTAGGCAGCGTTGACAGTTTTTCCAGCTTTTTGATTTTAAGCAAGTGTGTTTGCGTGTGTGGTTGTCAGTGTGAACAAACGGTGCGTTTTAATGTATAAACAAAATAAAATATGAAGCTTAAAATAACTTGTAACTGTCTTAAAGCTTGCTTGTGCTGTTCGGGGTTTTTGTAATAATGGCTGGTTTTCCTCAAACTTTACTGGATGAGAATCTGTTCATAGCACAACTGGTAGGATGTACTAAAAGCTCTTGAACAATGGGAGATCTGAGTGATGATTGTTTTTAAATCCTCTGACATCAACAGGAGTGTTTGTTCTACTTCTGATTAAGCTGTAATAGTGTGGGAGACTGGTTATTCAATTTATAATACTCTGTTATCTTTCATTTGGAGTTCTCATTTGTTTTTGTTTTTTGTGCTCAGGTCTTGTAAAAAAACAGTTTTTGGTGTACCGTAAATGGGCCATGTCTAAAAACTAATGAGTTTACACAAACACCTGCTGTGAGCATCGTTCAACTGTCGAGCACTAGTGTAAATTGAGCTTTTGGTGTTTCCTTGCAAATAAGTCCTGTGTGTAACAAACTAACCTTCATTAAGTATACTCAGTTTGTAGGGGAGCATCTGTTGCTGTAAAGAGCAATAAATAAATATATCTATATAAATATATACATGCAGGGTGGGCAGGGACTGTATTTTCTGCTGTAACTTGCTATTTGAAAAAATGATTCAAACCACTTTCCACCTACATGCGCCCCTGTGTGTTTGCAGACTTGTCTTGTATGATCTGAAATGGCTGAGCATAAATAAAAGTTTGTTCATTGTTATTAAAGTGTCTCGTAAATGGAGGTGCGGTGACGGAAAGTAAAAAGAACATAAACATGTTAACAAAAGCCTAGAATTTCTTGAAGCAACGTATATCGCCCGCAGACTTTCATGAGTTTTAGACTAAAATGATCTCGTTGAGAAATTAAGTTAGATAAATGCAATCTTGAGTGGTATTGCACCATTTTACTTTCAGAATGTGTTGAATAACTCTCAGCTACTACCATGTCATGTCATTATAACTCCATGTCTGTAAAAGTGCCAGAGTTATTTTACCCATCTTTGTGTTTACTAATGCTGATTTGCTGTGGCAGCCATCTTGAATGGAGTTGACAGTTTCCATACATAAATGCGTGTGCATGGAAACGTGACAGAATCAGCCTCGACCAGTATCCTTGGCTGACTTTTGTAACAGCAGCTCAGTGGAGGTCAGTTCCTTGAAGCCAGATGTTCACAACAACAACACACTTGTCTGCACAAATATGGTGGCTCCAGTCCGAGGAGTGCTTTGAGAGAGCATCTTCTCATGGCAGGAGGGACAAATGTTCTCAGTCACAATAACAAAACGTAATAAATACATTCATAAGCTTTGAAAATTATCTATCATGTTCATTCAGAGTTTTTTTGTTTTTTTCTATTACATTTATCCACTTGGGTAGGACATTTTCCAGGGTGTCCAGTGGACAACTTCTTGACAGAATTTGATTGTCCACCAGAATTTTGTGTTTGTAACCTTTACAAAAAGAAGGTAAAAAAAAAAATCTCATTAAAAAAAAAGTGATTTAATGAACACATTGCACTTTATACAAAGGTTACTATATAAAAATGTTCTCACTCATCTTGTGGACTGCTTGGAGTTTCCAAGCTGCTGAGTGGCTGACTCTTTCAAGAGATGCTTGAGTGGAACTTCCTCGTTCTCCTCATCCTCTTCTTCCTCATCAGACTTGGCAAGAGAGGCACTCGCAGTAGAGACTTCTAATACTTTCAGCTTTTCCCTCTTGAGAGTCGCCAGAGCGAGTTGTCATCCTCCATCTCACTCTGTCCTCACTCCAACTTCCTCCATGTATCTCCTCTTTGTTTTTCCTGGCAGTTGCATTTCTAACGTCCTACAAATGTCCCACTGTCCGTCCTCTGGACATGTCCAAACAATCTCAGTCTGGTCTCTCTAACTTTATCTCCCAGTTGTTCAACCTGTGCTGTACCTCTGATGACCTCATTCCTGATCTTATCCATCCTTGTCACTCCTAAGGAGAACCTCAACATCTTCATTTCTGCTGTTCCAGTTCTTTCTTCTTTTTGTCCATGTCTCCGTCTCAAGACCATACAACATAGCTGGTCTCACCACTGTCTTGTAAACTTTTCCTTTGACCTTTGCTGACACCCTTTTGTCTCAAATCACTCCTGAAACTTTTCTTCATCCATTCCATCCTGCCTGGACTCTCTTTTTCACCTCTTTGCCACACTTCCCATTTCCTGGACAGTGGACCCCAAGAACTTTTAAGTCCTGCACCTTTGTGACCTCTGCTCCCATCTGGGGCTTTAGCCCCGGAAGCCCTGGTCTAACTACGCACCTGTTGCTAATTAAATATTTAACTTGCAAGTTTAAGTATTTAGTTTGTAAACATGACATTTATAAATGTATGAATGCCATGGTGAAAATATGACTTTGAAAAAAAAAAAACTAGTTTTTTTTTTTCCTTATGAAAGGCTAAATAAACCAAAATATTGCTGTTGATTTTTGACTGTGTAACTTTACAAACGGCACCCCATAGATTTGAATGTTATTTAAATGCAGTGGTGGAGAAAGTACTCAAACACTGTACTTAAGTAAAAGTGCAACTAATCAGACAAAAATGTACTCTAGTAAAAGTAGAAGTACCACATTAACGTTTTTACTTAAGTAAAAGTAAATAAGTACTTGCTTTTAAAGATACTTAAAGTATTAAAAGTAAAAGTACTTGCTGAATGTATTACTTAATGCAATGGTCTACAATATTCTTAAGTGTGCCTACCATATGTATATTTTCTGTAGTACATTAATAGTGTTGTTTCATTTTAATGAACAATGCTGCAGATAATACATATTTTTATTGTGTTTACTCTGTGACACAGTTCACACTTGGACTCAGAGGCGGACTGGCCATCGGGAGCGTCGGGACAATTCCCGGTGGCCTGGTTGCCGAGGAACGGGACTAAAGGCTCGGTTCGGGTCGCACGGACTTTATTATTTTAAATAAACAATTCACTTTTGCCTGGGCTCAGGTCTCACGCTGCACTGCAGCGACGGAGAAAGCCTGGCACATCCCCCGGCCGGGCCGGCCCCCTCCCTTCCTTTTCTGTGTGTCACTCACAGAGCAGAGACACACACACACACACACACATTGCGCCCGCCCCCCTCCCCGCCCTAGGACTCGCGCTCCCGACGGTGTTGGCGCGCGGTGCGTGCATCTCAGAGCCAAAGAAGAGGAAAGGTGGAGCAGAGAGAGAGGATAAAAAAGAGAAAAGCTCTGGCCGCGGATGCTGCTAAGTGCTATAAATTAATGTTTGTTCGTAATGGAGCAGGTAAGAGAAACACTTGTGTTGAAAAAATTGAACTCTGGCACAGTTTATCAGCACAGCTTAATATCCACATGCTAGCTTCACTTTGAGGGACCTAAGTGGGCCAAAACTGACTTAATATAACAAATGTTTTTAAGTTTTTACAAAGAATATTGCAAATTTTATAATATGGGTTAGGATCTGAAAAAAGTTTAATGTTGAAATGTCTAGGAATTCAGATTTTTTTGTATCTAAAAAAGTTAAGTCAGGTCCTCTGGACAAATAAAAAAAAACTTGTTGAAACTTTTGTCTTTAATCCAAAAAACTAAGTTCAGTCTGAGGAGTTGCAACAAGCTCAGTTTCAAATAGCCTCTTCTCATAGTGGATCAACCTGTTAACATAAGGAAGACCTGCAGCCTAACAACCCCTAACAATGGTTTCTTTTCACAAAGATGGCTTCCTTTACTCCTCTCTCAAACCATAGTTCCTCTCTATCAAGGGTGTGCACATCTTCATCCCTGAAAGTGACTGCTGGCCTGCAGATGAGTGTAAACTGCCGAGTCTTGGCCTGAAGATGTTGCTCTTCTGTGCTGGGCCAAAGAGCAACATCATCAGGCCAGGAGAACTCTGTGGTTTACACTCATCTGCAGGCCAGCAGTCACTTTCAGGGATGAAGATGTGCTCATCCTTGATAGAGAGAAGTGTTGGTTTGAGAGAGGAGTAAAGGAAGCCATCTTTGTGATGAGAACTCATCCATCATTAAACAGGGACAGAGGCCTCTGTGTCCAACTGTAGCCCTCTTACAATGCTGTTATTGCTGGTATCTCTCAGCCCCCTGTGAATAGCAAACAGCCTAGAGCACTAACGATCCATTGTTAGGCTGATGATGGTCCTCCTTTATCATGTTAACAGCTAGTTCTGGATGTCAGCAACAAACTGGTTGATCCACTATGAAAAGAGACTATTTGAAACTAAGTTTGTTGCAGCTTCTCAAACTGACAGTCTTTTGGATTAAAGACTAAACGTTTCAACAAGTTTTTTTTTTTTTTTTAATCTGTCCAGAGGACCTGACTTAACTTTTTTAGATTTTCTACCTGGATTATTGAGGATATTTTGTGTATACCCTTCATTACTCCAATAAATTATCTGAATATTAAAATCCTTGTATTACAATATTTTATTTAAACTTTATTTTACCAGGTAAAGTTCCGTTGAGATTAAGAACTTTTTTTTTGTTATATGAATAGCCAATACATATAAATAGTCAATAAGTGAAAATGAATAGATGGGAAATTATGGATGGCTTTTTAGACGTGTGCAAACAACATGCATTCAAAGTGCGCTCAATTGAACTCAGTCTTGGTGGTTTGCGTTAATCAGGTGGTGGTGGCCTGGGATGGTATCAAAATTCCCGGCCTGGATTATT